GTAGCCGTTAGCGTTGTTAGTTCGAGTTTGATGTCATTTGCTCTGATACGTAGCACTCGGGGGGGAAATGAATACTTGTCTTATTTTGTTGATTATTTATCGAACCTTATGTTGTTATTTGAGGAGTTATCGTATTGATGTTGTTTTATGATTCAAAAGATGTTATGTCTCATATGGAGAATTATCATGAATTCGTTGCGTGATTAATCAAAGTTGGTTTATGTTATGAAGACTTTATTCATGAGTTGTTTTCATTCCGTTTTATTTAAGTGTTATGTATCTATTCTAAAAGCGTGACATGTTTATGTGTCTCTGTTGAATGTGTAGCATCCTGATTATTCTGGAAATTTTTATACTCTGATTTTCCATAAATTGCTTGGGGTAGAATTGGGGTGTTACAACTAACTTGGGTGTTTTGCGTCTTATCGTAATTGTTGCGGATAGCAAGAGTCGCCACTGACTTTTCTTTTATCCAATAAAGGAAAGGGTGAAAAGAACAGGGAAAACCTTTGAGATATTTTCTTGAGTTCGGGGAGTAGATTACAAAAAGGGAAGGTGTTAGCACCCTTTTCATCCGTAGTTATCTATGGGCTCTTAGTTGCTTTCTAGATCATTTGAAAGTTGCTTTGTTTGAAAATGTGCTTTGTGGTGTAAGTTTGAAAATATTTTGAAAACTCCTTTGTTGAGACAAACATTGTAATGATTCTCGTCTCTATAAGAATTTATACAAAGTGTTAGTTTTAAAAATAGTTCAAAGAGATGCTTGTTTTTAAAGATGTTTTGAAAGTGTAAGTGTGGAAATGGTTTTAGTTTGTGATCAAGCAACTACGATCCTCCTACCTACTCAAAAGGTCTTTGTTCTTTTCCTCATCCTTTAGATGTTTCTATCTTACCATTGATTGGTAAGAAGCCCCATCATTGGATGTGAAGAGACAAGCGTGGGTCATCGTATAGTCATGAATGGAAATATTGTGAGATATCTTAGCATTTCTCTTAAGGGACTAAGATCATTTGTAAGGCAACATTCGTAGCGTCATCGAGGGACTATGATCTTGTATTTTGATTATTTTTGCTAAGATGGATCACATGCACATCATGACTATTTTTCTCAAGGAAACAAGTGGAGCTAACCCTAGAGGTGTAAGTGTGAAAGTGTATTTGATTGCATGCATTTTTATCTTTGAGATTAGGGTTTTCTAACAGTTGATTTTATCTTTCGATACACACCCTAATTACTAACAATTTATATTAAAGTGATAAATTATGGAAATTAAAATCCTAAGCTATTTAATTATTAGGGGGATGGGGGATACAAATGTACAAATGAGGATTGCAAGAAATTAAACCTAATTATCTATTACAACCATATTGAATAAATGTACAAGAAATGACATGAATATAATGTACAAGGAATATAAAAAGAAATGGATTTTGCTTTGGATTTTTGTTAGGAAATTTGTTTTGACCTAATTAACCTAAAGGGATATGATTAATAAAAAATAAGAAAATTGATCCTAAGTTAAAAGGAAATCAAATTAATCAAGAAATCATTTTTTAGGTTTTTTTATGGAAGGGTTTTGGTTAATTAAAATAAATATGAAAATATAAAAAAAAAACAGCACAAAAGAGAGAAAAAAACAAATCTTTCGATATCATGTGTCGAAGCATGTTTTGAAGCATGCTTATATGCATCGAACATATCCTCCTTTCGATCCTGTAATTCCAAATCGAACTTAGTATGAGTCGAAGCATAATGTTATGTATCGAATCACACACCCTTTTTCCCTTCTGTTTGGACTAGTAAAGCAGTATGTGTCGAAGCCTAAAGCTTTTTGTCGATTCATGCTGTAATTCTTTCACTCCAACATTCTTTTATGGTTTGTACAGGTTAGTTATTAACATATAATTGACAAGAAAAGAATACAAACAAAAGGTTAGCTTCGAATGCAATGGTTATTACATGTTATCTTTGAAGATGAATCATCAATTATGCTTAAAATGAAGGGTTTAAAGTCAAGAAGACTTACCTTGAAGCTGAAATTTGTGATTCGAACTTGAGTTGCTGCCTTGAATGTTCTTGAGTTCGAAGAAAAGAACAGAGGTGTTGTTTTTTTCCCTGGGTTTAAGAGTGTTTTAAGGCTTCAGTCTTAGTGTTCTCTCCTCTCTATTTTTTTCTTCTCCTTTTTCATTGTCCAAAAGTCCTCCCTTTGTGTGTTGTGAAACAACTTATTTATGGAAGAGTCTTGGTGGGGTTTTGGGGGGAAAACAAATAAAATTTGAACTGTTTGGGTATGCTCTTTTCATAGTTTTTGAGGTGCAGCTCTTATATGATAATTTGGTGCAAATTAGGAGCAACATAGCAAGACTGTGTTGCAGCAGTTTTGGAGTGTTGTGGCAGCTTGGTGCAGGGCTGTTTCATAGCAGTACAACAGACTATTTTTTTGACATGGTTTTAGGCTGTTATGTGGACAATACAACAAGCTTGAGTTTGGCAACATATAGGACTTTGTTCAGTAAGCATCTTAAATCTCTAAAAGATGTCGAATACTTCATCCTTTCGTTTTGATCATATAGATCCACAACCTTCGACCAAACTCATCAATAGACAAAACAATATTTGTTTTCACCAATTGTATGTTCTTCGAATGGGCCACACAACCTTCAACCAAACTCATCAACAAACAAAACAATATTGTTTCCACCAATTGTATGTTCTTCGAATGGACCACATAACCTTCGACCAAACTCATCAACAGACAAAACAATATTGTTTCCACCAATTATATGTTCTTCGAATGGACCATATTCATCTGAATGTACCACTTTGAGTATGCAAGATGATCTCATTGGCATAGTCGAAACGAAAGAATTTCAAACTTCACAAAGTTTTTCCAGGCATCTCAAGACTTGGAATACTAGTAACCATATCTTGAGTAATCAGTTGATTAAGTGGTCGAAAGTTTAAATGTCCAAACTTCAAATGCCACAACCAAATATCCTTATGGATCGAAGCAAGTTTCTCGAAGAAGCCATTGCCCAGTCGGAGCTTGTGGATCGAAGCAAGCATGAAGATAGACTTGTAATTCATAGTGTCGAAATTATGTGTGTCGAAGGGTTTAGAGGTGGATCGAAGTAGGTTGCTCGAAGAAAGCCATTGCCCAGTCGAAGCTTGTGGATCAAAGCAAGCATGAAGATAGACTTGTAATTCATAGTGTCGAAACTATGCGTGTCAAAGGGTTTAGAGGTGGATTGAAGCAGGTTGCTCGAAGGAAGCCATTTCCCAGTCGAAGCTTGGGGATCAGAGCAAGCTTGCTCTTCTTCGACTTGTCAAAATCTGCCAACCACTCCTTTTCGATCAGTCATGTGGTTTGAACAACCTGAACCAAATTTTGAATTCGACATGGTTATCTGCAACTGCACACCTTTTTTATCTGCTTTTCCCTTTTGACAATTTCCTCTTCCTCCTTTCGAGGATTCAGAAGTTCCATCTTCGACCTGATGCTTGAGAGCCCAAAATGATTCGGAAACTATATGAGACATTACAAATTTAATCGTACTTGTGCAAACTCAAACACTAATTCCGAGGTATTAGTGCTGAAGAGGTGACTTGACCTAGTCAATACTTGTGCAAACTTGAGCTTTTGAAAATCTTTGTGAGAAATGTCTTGAGAAAATAGAGGGCAAATTTTGGGGTACAATACCTCGGTTAAAAGATCGTAGTCCCTCGATGACCCTTCGACGTTGCCTTCGGTAAACGATCTTAGTCCCTTACGACAATTGTTAAAGCGTCCTACGAGTTTCCTTTTATGACTGTACGATGACCCACGTCTGTCCCTCACATCCAATGATAGGACTTCCTACTAACTAATGGTAGAATAACACTATCTAAAGGAGGAGGAAAAGAACAAAGATTTTTTGAGTAGGTAGATCGCTCGTAATCGCTTGCTCACAAACTAAAACAATTTTCACACCTCACACTTTCAAAATAACTACTTTCAAAACATTCTATAAACACTCTTGAAGACTGACACAAGAGTTATTATAAAGCAAACTGTCTTACATTGACATTTTCAAAATATTTCATAATCACACCTTTCAAAATATTTTCAAAACAAACGCTTTGTATACACTCTTGATGACTGATACAAGAGTAATTACAAAGTTCGCCTTACATTGGCATTCTCAAAATATTTTCAATCATACACAAGCACAAAGTATTTCAAAAGTGAGTTAGCGATTAAGAGCCTGTAGGTAACTACGGATGAAAATGGTGCTAACACCTTCCCTTTTCATAACCTACCCCTCTTACTCAGAAAATTCTCAAAAGATCTTTCCTGTTATTTTCACCCTTTCCTTTATTGGATAAAAGAAAAATCGATGGCGACTCTTGCTATCTGCAACATTTGCGATAAAACGTAAAACCAAAAGACAGTTCTCTTACCGTATTACATCAAAGTGTCTTGCAAGTACCCCCTAACTCATTTTCAGTTGTCACTCAACTCACAACTCGTAAACCTTAACGATCTATTCTAGTCAATTACGATAATTTCCTTACGATATTTTCATCACGAATTTATAATTTATTTTATTAATTTATATTTTATTTTTTATATGCTATTTTAAATATTGTTAATTTATATCTTATCTTTTATATGATATTTTAAACAACTTTTTAGTTTATAATTTATCATTTTTTATTTTTATTACTTTAATAAAAATTTATTTTTATTCTTTATAATTTATTTTAATATAAAATAATTATCGACTATAAACTACCGTCATCAACTATAATTATAAATTATCAAGTGACTAATCAACCGAGTATTATTTTTATCAGTCAAAACTTAATATTTATTAAAAAAGTTAATAAAATATGATAAATAAATTTCCATTCACCACTAGAATAAAATATCCAAATATTGTGACCATGTAAAGAGAAATAGTCGAAAATAAGAGGATCATTCATTGAGTTTCAATTCTTCTTTCTCATCTCAAGAGTTATGGGATTAGCTTCCGTGGTTCACAATGGCGTTCAAATTCCTATGAGGCAGAATGCCCTTGTCAGAGTGAGGGTTTCATCTTCCAAAACCTCTACACTCCATTTCCTTCACCATCCTATCTCTTCTTTTTCTTCAGGTTTTCTATATCTCTATCTCTCTCCTCCAAATTCACTTTAATTACTTCTTTACCCCTTATCACTTTCTTTTTCTATTTGTGTCTGTGGTGACAGCTGATCGTTTTCATCGTCCTCTCCGCCTTCAACTTTCATGCTCCAAACCAATTCATGCTTCAGGTCACTCTATTTTCAAGGCTTGGCATTTTCTCATCAATAATTAACTAATTAATTATGTTTTTAATTTTCCGAGTGGTGTTGCAGAAGTGAAGAGAATTACTGCTCAACCAAAGGATGAAATATCTTCTACCGACGAAACACAGAGCTCGGCTGTTAGAACTGTAGCTTTATGGGTGGGAAAATCTATGCTAACTATGCTTTTATTGATTTTCTTTGCTTTCTTTCATTTCAATTTACTTGTGCTTTCGTTCAGGTTTTTGCCGCAGTAGCATTTGGTCTTGGGGTGGGTTTTAAACAAGGTTATGACAAGGCGTCTGAATTTTTTGCTGGGTATGCGCAACATTATTTGATTTTACTACAATGAGTCATGACCAATAACTTTGTACTCTATACTCAATGGAGTTAAGGCCTTTGTGCACTTTTATAGATACATATTGGAGCAAAGTCTCTCAGTGGATAATCTCTTTGTCTTTGTTCTAATATTCAAATACCTCAAAGTGCCAGCTTTGTATCAGGTGATGTATAAACCTTCTTGTCAAGGGTAAACTTTATGTTTTTTAACAAGTTACTATTGGTACTGCATTTTAGAATACCACGAATGCAAATAATTTATCAGATTGCTTCCACTTCTTATTGAACTTACAGAATCGTGTACTTTCCTATGGTATTGCCGGTGCAGTTGTTTTTCGCCTGACAATAATACTTCTTGGAACAGCCACCATTCAGGTTGGTTTTCAAATATGGATATATTTCTCATATGTTTTTCTTTTTTTTTTGTAAAATATATATACTTTTTATTGATCGTCCTATCGTGATTAATACTATGATGTTTAGAGGTTTGAAGCAGTCAACCTTCTATTGGCGACGATATTACTCTTCTCATCATTTAAGGTGACGATTCTCATTATCCGATATTTAAATATCCTTACTTGCTTGGTATAAGGCCTTCTAAATTCATATTCGACAAGAAAACATTGATCCCTAAAGCTTAAGATATTAGAACATGAATCCTTTTATATAGCTCATATCCCCTTCATGCTACTTAGGGATTGAAGCATGGATAATAAGTATTGTCACTTTATCTTGTGCTCAAGTTTAGTTAAGTTATGAAGGAACGAGAGTCACGAGGATCGAGCTTTTGGCTACCTGGTGAAAGGGACTTTCATATGATATCAGGGTTCAAGCATCCTAAACCTTAAACATATTTGTTGAAGCACTGAAATCAAATGATCTATCTCCTCCACGTTATGCTAGGAACTTCAAACTTCTTGTTATGGTATTCACAGTTCTATGTACTGGCTTTAATCGCAGTTTGTTTCTTGTTTTATGAATAGCTATTTGCTAGTGAAGAAGAAGAGTCGGATTTATCTGATAACTTTCTGGTGAAGACATGCCAGAAACTTATCCCGGTAACAAGTAATATTCTCTAATCATGTTTATGTATCGTATGGTCATTTTGTTTGAGTATGTTTATCTCTGCTGAGTAATATCGCCAATCCAAAATCTTACTCTGAAAAATTGCTGCAGCAAATTATGATGGAAACAAGTTCATAACAAAGCAGGATGGGATATGGATGGTAAGATCTCGCAAACTGAAAATATTTCCTTATTCTCGATTTAAGCAACTGTTATCTTTTCTCACAAATGCGTTGAAGTTTTTGTACGATTTGCACTTGTTGCTTTCTTGTCAACAAGTAAAAATGTTTTCTTAATGAATTAAATCAATTTCAACTTGATTTCTAACAGGGATCAAACATTTTGGGCAGGCCACACCTTTGCTTCTTACAGTAGCAGTTATTGAACTTAGTGACATTGCATTTGCCGTAAGACTATCGATTCCCTGACCGTTCTCTTTAATGTGGAATTTTGTGGTATAAATCTTGACACGTGTGTTCTTTTCTAATAGGTGGACTCAATACCTGCAGTTTTTGGTGTAACACGGGATCCATTTATAGTGTTTTCTTCTAATCTTTTTGCCATTCTGGGTAAGTTCTCTTGCTTCTGTTCCCTTTGTGATGTAATGCTAGTACACTTAAGTTAAGTTTTAGAATGTAAAACGTGTTCCTTATAATTTGATACCTGGAAAGCTTGCAAGTAAAGTGTAAAACTTCTGTTTTAAGGTAGTTCATCCATTTGCTTGCTGAACAAGTGCTACTAAATAATTTTATAACAAAATTTTGTTGCAAAAAAGTGGTTCTTTTGTAACTTTTATCTGCCTGATTCTCCATTAAATCATTAACAAGTGGGCAAGGAGAGACGGGATGAGTTCATTCTTGGTTATCATCTGAGATCAGATGTTTTTCTTTCTAACAATAGTCACTGTTTTCTTACAAATTTATTTGCATTTGACAAAGCTATAAATAAACAACTTCTATTTGTTAAATGTGTAGGTTTGAGGTCACTTTACTTGATAATTTCAGAGGGTATGTCAGAGTTGAAGTACTTACAGGTAACTGTTGACCTGGTTTGTTGATATACCATATTTTGCGCATGCTTTTGTTCTGTTTATGCGTCTATTTTTTAAAAATAACCATGTGTATTACATTCGGGACTCCAAGTCTTGAACTATGTTTCTGTTACCACTTCATTATTTCTGTTTTCCTTTGGTTTCCTGCTCATAGAAATTTGCAACTTCATCCTAAATTGTTGTTTTTTAGCCTGAAGCAGACTTATTGCAGATACATAAACATATAGAAACTTTAGAAAAATTTATTGATATGATGTTATATATTACAAAGCTTCATTTTACTTATACTTCCATCGTTATCATTGATATCCATATTTTGTTCTTGTTAGCCGTCCATTGCTGTTGTTCTTGGATTTATCGGGTGTAAGATGATTGCGGACTATTTTGGTGAGTATGCACTTCTCATTCGATCACCAATCATCATGTGTTCCACTGTACTTGAGTTTTTCACATATTTTCATTCTTACAGGAATCCATGTCTCAACAGAAGCATCTCTCGGTTTCGTAGCCTCGAGTCTTTCCATTGGAGTAATATTAAGTCTGGCTAACAAATCCGACTAAGCGTACAGACCAACTCAGAATGAGTTGAGTTCTGCATGATTGCTTCTATTTTACCAAGCAATCCAATTCTACCCCCCACCCCAAATACAAAAAAAATCCATGTATTCTTCCTTTATCTTCTTGTATACTTGGTAAGAAATATTTATTTATTTGTTGGTGTCATTGGCTAATACCTAGCTGAGGAATCCTTTGTAGCCTCTGATATGGCTCTGGTTCATGTTCAAAGTTAAATCATTATGGCAAATTGTCTATCAAAACATCCTTTTGCAAAAACTAGCTGTGTTATACCCGTGTGGAAAAAAAAAGTTACAAACACGTGTAAAAGTCTGAAAATTTGATTTTTCTAAAGATAAAACTTAGATGCATTTCCATTGACTTAAAATTCATATGGTATGGTTATAATAAATGACGAGAAAATTATGGATTTGAAGAAATTAAAGATACTCCAGTTAAAAATCATATGAAAGACACCTAAAAAATGTACCTAGGTTGTCTTTTATTTTTTCATTATAAATTATTAATGAAAGTTTGACAGTATTTACGTATGGTTTTATAAATTAAGGGAATTTCTTAACATATCCGATGTCATTGAAAAAGAATCCTATGAAAATTTAATTTAATTTCTGCGTTTTTAGAAGTGTATTTTCGAGACATATTTTTTTTCCGTTAAATTTCAGTTAATTCTGGAGATATATTTACGGGAAGGAACCAAAAATGTATTTCTAGAATTTATGCGGATAGTAGCAGAAAATAATTTTCATTGTTTTAAATGATGGAAACTACCAAATGAATACAATACTATATGTATATCTTTGTATTCATGTGTCCAAATTAGATAAAGTCGTTAACCAAAATATTATCTAAAATCGATAAATAAAATATTATCCAAATCAAAATACAATACAAGATATATAAATATGAAGACTACTGCATATGGCAGACTCTGAGTCGATCCGTGACCCTCTCGGCATGCCTCTGCTGCCTCTTGTACTGCAGAGCCTCCTGAACCTCCGTCATGATGGCATCTAGAACACCTCTAACTGTGAGTGGAATTTTCTTCAAGATGTGTTTTGTATGATGTCAAAACTACAAGAATATAACATTTATGTATATTAAGCGGTATCTCTGATTTGGGTGGCACCCTACACATTTAGAGGTCTTCGGAATCATTTGAAACATAGTCAAAACTAAACCTATTTCAAAAAAAAAAATTATGCACTAAAAATACATATACAGGTCGGCTCATAAGTCTTTACAGGTCCGCTCATCTATTGTCTTAAATAAAGAGTTCTCTTATGTCTTGGTTAGGCCGACTTGTACTGTCTTAAATAAACATTTCTTTTCTTTCTTGTTCAGGCCGGCTCATGCTGTTAAAATTAACACTATGAGTCGACTCATCCAAGCTACAGGCCAGCTCATACTGTTTCATGGATTAAAATTTATATTTTCTTTTAATTATGAATTTCCCTATTTTGCCCCAATATTTCCATAACTATAAATACATCTTTCATGCATCACTCCTACTTGGTGATACGATAAAAATATCCTTCAATTGCTCTTTATCTTCAACCTCCAACCTATGCATAAACACTAACAAATCATTGTAACGATTCTTTGTTAGGGTGCCATCTAGACGAGGTTTGATAACGTCTGATTAGGATCTTGTGTAGCCGAGAAGATTAGGTTGAGATTTGCATGGGTCTTTATCTGGAAAAACCACTGGTTTGTCTTCCAAGATCATTGATTGATTTGGGGATTTTCGTGCAAGACATTCAAGTAAGGATTGCGGCCTAATAAAGTCCTTTGGAGATAAAGAACACAAAGGATCCTTTGGAGACAAATAACGCAAAGGAAGTAGCGAGATAATGGAGAATCAAATTGAAGTCTTGTGTTGCAATAGGTACAATTGATCGTGGGCGAAAGCTTTGGAGATAAAGAATGCAAAGGAGTAGCAATATCGACAAGTCAATTGGGATCTATTGTGTCTTGGTCTTTCTCAATATCAAAAGAAGAGAAGGAGTTGAATCATAAGCTTAGGATTTGTGGAGTTGCTCTTGGAACACTTCTCTTGTATAAACTTTTGCATAATAAAAATTATTCTAATTCAATTGGAATTAGGCGCAGACGTACCCACACGCGAGGACGAAAATGGGGAACTATGAAGACAAATACTCGTGTCTCTTTTCTTTTATGGCTTTACTTGCTTTAATTTTCATACATCAATTTATCAAATAGTATTGAGTAATCTATCGACGCGTAGGAATTTTCCAAGACTATTTTTATTTTGAATTGAGTGTTGATTTGTTTATAATCACTTTCGATTATAAGTTCTTTTTCATATCAACATGACTCAAAGAAAAATTATGAAACTTTGATTTCACACCAAGTGTTTGACAAATTGTTTAGCTTGTTTAAATCAAAGGAAAATTCTGAAACCTGTGTTGCACATCAAATATTCGACATATTGTTCCGTTTATTCTTTTGCTTGTTATCATTAGAAATAGCACTACTAGTAACTTGCTTTAAATGTTAAATAAGTTGTTAATTGATTGAAGTATATTAATTACATTTATCATTTTCATTCCATATTCAGTTTGTTATATTTGCATATCTGACTTCCAATAGTGGTTTGTATAGACGAATCATTTTGAAAACCTTCCACTCACACTCTTTGCTAAATAAATTTTCAAAACCAGAATTTTTTGGAATTTTTAATTGGGTATCTATTCACCCCCCTCTAGATAAGTTGTCGTCGTCTAACAAGTGACATCAAGAGCATTGTTCATTCCGGCTTCGACACTCATTAGAAAATGACGTACTAGCCTAAAGGGGATTATAAAAGAGCCATAATTTTCACGGGAGAGAACTATAATTATTGGAAAACTTGTATGTAAATTCATGTCAACTCATATGAAAAAGGTGTTTGGGAAGTCATTCAAAATGGTCCAACACCAGTGACATATATTGCTGATGGTGCTACAGTATCAAAGCCGGAAAACTTATGGGATGAGGATGATAATAAGAAGTGGTCATATGATTGGAAAGCGAAGAATATTATCATATACGCTCTTGGTGTTGATGAATTCTATCGCATTTCCCATTGTCAAACCGTTAAAGCTATGTGGGATACTCTATAAGTTATCTATGGGGGAACTAATGAGGTCAAAAAAGCTAAGATTAATACACTTAATCAAAAGTTTGAACTCTTTCGCATGAAGCATGGTGAAACCATTGCTCAAATGCAAAAGCAGTTTTCGCATCTTATTAATCGTTTAAATTTGCTAGATAATCCTATTTATAATTTTATTTTTACTAACAAGGTTTTAAGGTGTCTTACTAAGAATTGGAAACCAAAGGTCACCGAGGTCAAGGAAGCCAATAATCTTGCAACACTTGATCTCACTGCTTTGTTTGGAAAGCTAGAAGAACATGGGCAAGAACTCAATTGCTTGGAAAAACACGAAAATAAGCTTGAGAAAAAGAAAGACACCAACAAGGAGGAAGGATTGAAGTCTAAAGCTCTAAGGGCTTAAAGTTCAAGATCCTCAAAGGATGAGCACACTAATGATAGTGATTCTTGTGATGAAGAAAATTAGGATGATGAGCAAATGGGATTATTTGTGAGGAGATACAATCGATATATTCGGAAGAATGATGTCAAACACTCCGACAATAATCTTGTAAAACATAGAAGATGTAAATGTTTACTTGTTGGCATTAATTTTTGGTAAAACCAGATTTACGAATGTCATGACTGATGTCATAACATTATGGGATAAAGACAAATTCTACAGAAGGAATGCTCTACAACTCAGTATGAGTGAATATCATGATGATTAAGCTATGATCATATGTACTGAATTCTACCAAAATCAGTGAGCAGGATACATGATGTCATAACCAATGTTAAGACATCCTGTACAGATCAAGTTGTTGTGCAGATTTATTGTTCCTGAGAATTTTCAGAAATTTGGTGTGCTATTCTGAGTTGAAGTATATTGACTAGATCAGATGCTCACGTGGATATTAGGTTAACCTTGCTTAACCCTAATTTGTTATGATTAAAGCCCAAGACCAAGTCTTTAGGTTAACTTTGGTTAACCCTAACTATTTTTATGGAAGCCCAAAATGAAGAATAGACTGCATATATATTTCTCAAGAATCCTAATGGTGTGCAGCGCTTTTGACAGAAGATCAATAAGGCATTTTGTATAGTTTTAGTAATTACTATGATCCAAGCAATTATCACTTGATAAGTGACTTGGAGTAGGATTTGGTTGTAAGGGTTGTTTATCACTCAAAGCTTTGAAGCACGAGTGTTGTGTCTCTTGATTAAAGCTTTGAAGTAAAATCAAGCGTGTGTATTGAAGAATGTCTTCATAATCTTATTAATCAGTAGATTAGTATCACTGCTGTGATTGAGGGGGAGTGAGTAGGAACTCAGGTTTAAGTAGGACTTAGATTGAAGTTGCATTGAGTAGGTCTTAAGTGAAGGAGATAAACTGGTTGGTTTATTCCTAAATTAATACCTCTTATAGTGAATTTCCTCCCTGGCTTGGTAGCCCCCAGATGTAGGTGTTGTTATACACTGAACTGGGTTAACAATTGATTGTGTTCTTTACTGTCTTTTAAATTACTATTTGGTTTGTGTACAATTTGTCAGATACGGTGTCATAACATTCACCGTGACATTAAGTATCTGTTGCCAGAATTTCAATTGGTATCAGAGCAGGCACCCTGCCTGTCTTTCTGGGTGAGATCTAGGGATATTATTTTCTGGCGCTATGGACAAGGAAGGAGGATTTGGGAACAGACCACCTATTCTGGATGGATCAAACTATGACTACTGGAAACCTCGTACGATTGCCTTCTTAAAGTCACTGGACAATAAAGCTTGGAGAGCTGCTGACAAAGGATGGAACCATCCCACCATAACTGGGAAAGATGGGACGACTAGTCTGAAACCTGAGGAAGAATGGAGCAAAGAAGAAGAAGAGTTA